CTCCCGACGGATCAAAACCTCCTCCTCCTCCTCCTCCTCCTCCTCCTCCTCCTCCTCCTCCTCCTCCTCTTCCTCCTCCTCCTCCTAAACCCCGACCCCCTCCTCCACCGAGACGAGGGGCAACGATGGGCGGGGACAGGCGCAACGCGGGGGGGCCATATCAGCGAGCAGTGGGCGACCGGGGGTCGATGCACCCGGCCCGGAGCCTATCCCCCCATAGCGGTGCCCCTGTTAAGAGCATGCGGAAGCGATCTGCGTAAAGATGTAAAGGTGGCGCGGCCCATCCCCGCGCCCCCCGGCCATGGAGGGTGGCATCGCCGCGTCATCCAACAAGGCTCTGGAAGGCCATACACCCTCCTCCTCCTCCTCCTCCCTCTCCTCCTCCTGCTCCTCCTCCTCCTCCTTCTGCCCCTCCTCCTTTTCATCCTTTTCCCCACTCGTGATGGATTTCAATGTGACTTCTTGTGTAGCGATTTGCGACGGATCCATTTGTACCGGATTTCAATAAGATTCCTTTTGTAAAGGAATTCAATCAGATTCGTTGCGCTGAGGGTTTCCACAACAAGGCTCCTTTGGTTGAGAATCGGGAATGAGTTCCCCTTTAAAAAGATGTCATCGGAAATGAGTTCCCTTCAATATGATTCGTTGCGTGGAAGATTTCGAATATGATGCCTTGTTACTGGAAATTTGAACAACATACTGTGTGCGCAAGATTTCAATATGATTCCTTTTGCCGATGATTTCACAAGAATTCATTTTGTCGAGAATTTAAATTGGATTTTCCTGTGGGGAATTTGAATAAGATTCCTCTTGCGGAGGATTTACTGTGGAAGGTTTACATATCGATTTCTTGTGTGGATTTACTTGGAGGAAACCAGGATGATGAAACAAAACATACAACGAACTTGTGAAAAGTGATGCGTAGTCAATATTATTGGCGCTAACATTACCCAGCAAATGTGTTCAGGCTCCGAAGCGCCAAAACGGTGCGTTTCGCCATGTCTCCACCACCGGAAAACATCAAAACCCTGTAAAACTCTACGTTGTCAGCCCCCGCAAGTTGAAAACGATGCGCGCTCATTGTGTAGCTGCGTTCCGATGGTAAAACATTACTATACATTTGTTGTTTCCTATCTTCGGGAACTGAAGACGATGTCCTTTTATGCGCGTGTAAACAATAATAATAATAATAGACACAAGTGTGCACAAACATATATGTGTACATAGCATAACCATAACCATAAACATGACCATTCACATAAACATCAACATACTCATAAACATAACAGAAACAGTCACACACACACACACACACATACACACATACACATGAACATACTCACATACATATACATATACATTTATGGATGTATGTATGTATATATATATATATACACATGTACAAATATGTTTACAGACGCGCGAAAACATACACACACATACATACATACATGCATACAAGCACGCAACATATTCAGATGCATATATACACATTCGCTGACCGTCGACGTACGAACCCAGGGGGGCCCAAAAGGCTTGCAGGGTCTTGTTTCCAGAAGCAATTGTGACCCCTCCTGGGGGCTGTTTTGGCGTCTGTTGGGGCCTGTGTTGGGTCTCTTGGGGAGCTGGTGCCTGTTCGGGACATTTGTGGGGGTCATTGACGCCTCTCGGGGGCCATTCTGGGGCCCCCTTGGGCAATCTTGGGCGCCTCTTGGGCCGTCTTGGGGCCCTCTTGGGCCGTCGTGGTGGCCTTTTGAGTGCCTCGTGGGCCGTTTGGGGGCGATCTGGGAAGCGTCTTCGGCCGTTCTGGAGCGTCGGGAAGATGAGAAATTGCTGAAGCTGAAATCGTACGCTGCACGACTGGAATTTAACGATTTTGGCCTGTTCGGGCTCACTTGGGAAGCGTCTTGGGGTGTTTTGGGGCGAAATGGGGGCCTCTGGGATTCTTTGGGGGCCATCGTGGGCGTCGTATAGCCCTCTTGGCCCAGCTTGGGGCCCTTTGGAAGCCATCGGGAACCGTTTTAGGCCCTCCATGGGCGCTCGACAACCAGCGGCCCCCATAGGGACGAAGATCTGGCCAGATCACTTTTCTACGCATCTAGGTACTCAATACAATAGTACAACTGTGTGTATATCGGAGGTGAGGGGGTGAGATCGAAGTGGAACGGCGAACCCCCCACCGGGAAATCGGTTTCGGTTTCGTGTTCGTGCGTGCCGTGCGTGCGAGGCGAAGCTGCGTGGGCGGGCGAGAAAAAGTCTCCTGTGGCTGAGGCGCGGCCAGACCACATGACTCCCTTCCGGGCGGCCGGGGGCCCGCGGTGTCCCGCCGGTCTCCCGCTGGTGTCCCGTGTGGCTGAGGCGCGGCCGGACCAAATGACTCCCTTCCGGGCGGCCGGGGGCCCGCGGTGTCCCGCCGGTGTCCCGCGGTGTCCCGCGGTGTCCCGCGGTGTCCCGCCAGTGTCCCGCGGTGTCCCGCGAGGATGATGATGATGAGAAGAAGATGATGATGATGATGATGATGATGATGATGATGAGATGATGATGGTGTCCCAACGATGATGATGATGATGATGATGATGTTGATGATGGTGTCGATGATGATGATGATGATGGTGATGATGATGATAGTGTCCCGATGATGAGGATGATGATGTTCATGATGAGTATGTAGATGATGATGACGATGATGGTGTCCGGATGATGATGATAATGCTGATGATGATGATGATGATTCCGATGATGTTGATGATGATGATGTTGATGGCAATATTGCCCCGGCGGTAATGATGTTGATGATGATGATGCTGATGATGGTTATGGTGTCCCGATGATGATACTGATTATGATGATGATGGTGATGATGATGATGATGGTGATGCTGATGGTGTCCCGATGATGATAATAATGGTAATCACAATGTTGATGATGCTGTTGCTCATGACGATGATGGTGCCCCAATGATGATGATGATGCTGTTGATGATGATGATGTCGATGATGATGCGGTAATCATGATGATGATGTTGTCCCGATGATGATGACGATGTTGAAGATAATGTTGATGATGAGAACGATGGTGATCATGATTGTGTCCCGATTATGATGATAAGTATGATGATGCTGCTGATGATGACGATGACTGTGTCCCGATGATGATGATGATGCGATGATGATGGTGATGATGATGATGTTGTCCCGATGATGATGCTGACGTTGATGGTGATGTTTATGATGATGATGACGGTGCCCCCATGATGATGACGATGTTGGTGATGATGTTGATGTTGCTGAAGTTGATGATGATGGTGATGACGTTGATTGCGAGAGCGATTGTGATATCGATAGTGAGAGCGAAATTGAGACCGAATGTGAGATCGATTGCGTGATCGATTGTGAGATCGATTGTGAGATCAATTGTGAGATCGATCGAATGAGATAGATCGAATGAGATCGATTGTGAGATCGATCGAGTGAGATCGATCGAGCGAGACCGATAGTGAGATCGATACTGAGATCGATAGTGAGACCGATCGAGTGGGACGTTGGTCCCCCCCCCCCCCCCGAACCTCCTTATCACCCGAAATGTGGTCGTATAGGTATGTATGTGTATATATATATACACATACATGCATACATACATGCCGACGCCGGAGATCGCATAAAACAAACCGCTGTGGTGGTTCGGAGACTGAAAACGCGGCGGGATGTTCGAGATGGCCTTGCGTGTTCTATTATCTGGCGTTTGTTATCCGCCTGGCTTCCCCCACGTGCATTCACTTGAAACTGCGTTGTAAAACGTCCACAAAAGGAACCGTATATAATCTCCAGCGAACGGGATCCTGCTCAAATCCCCCCCCAAACTAAATCCTAATCAAATTCTCGATAGAAAGGAATACGGTTGAAGTCCTCAACGCAAGAAGAGCATTGAAATCTTACCCGAAAGGAAGAATGTTAGAATTCCCGGGAACTGAAATCCTACTCCAATTCTCGGCAAACGGAAGCCCAATGAAACCCTCTACCTAACGAGTCCCATTCAAATCCTGCGCGGAAGGAATCGGATTATAACCCTCCGCTAAGAGGAACCCCGCCCAAATTCTGACCAGCAAGAATCCTTTTGAAATGCTCGACAGAAGGAGATTCCATCGAAATCTTCCACAGAGGACATCTCATTGATATTCCCCGAAAAGGAATCCGAGTGAAATCCTTCACAGAAAAAAAAAAAAAAAAAAAAAAAAAAAAAAAAAACATGCAATTGCTGCGCAAGAAGGAATATGGCTGAAATCTTCTACAGATGGAATCCGATGGAATGCTACGACGACATGGCGACATTAGGCGCACCCTAGCTTCACCTAAGGCTCGTCTACTAAGTTCACGCAGGCCTAACTCAGGCTTGTCTCAAGCTTATCCTATGCCGACCTGATCGAATTCTGGGACTCGGGCCCGCTTAAAATTGGCCGATCTAGGCCTACTCGAGGCCGTGCGAAGCCGGCCGACCCTAGCCTCTTTCTCAAACTTTCCGCCTCGCTCTACCCAGGGCATAACTTCGGCCAGCCATGGCTGGCCCAGGCCTACCCTAGGCTTGCTTAGGCGTGCCCTAAGCCTTCCTCGGCTTACCTAGCCTCACCCTAGCCTCGGCCACGGCTGACCTGACGCTTGCCGAAAGCCTGCCCGGGCCTCCCTCAGGCCCACATGCGGCCCACCTAAGGCCGACCGCAGCCTCTTTAGGTCTACCTCGGCGCGGGCGCACGCGAGGCCCCCCTCGGGCCTGCCCGAGGCCCGCCTGAGCTCGAGCCCGACGACAGGCACGTTGAAAAAGGCAAGGGAACATCCACGAACGCACGCCCCCGCGTTCGCCCACCTGTCATGCATTTTGCCGCCTGCCCCGTTGCTGCAGCCATTGCGTTTGGAGCGTATTCGGCCAAAGTCCGAATCAGACGTTGCCAAGACCTCGCGGATTTGCGCCCCTCATAAGCACGTCTCGGGACGACGACCAAGCGGGCG